TTTTTTTTTTATTCTATGAAATTATATTTTCTGCACTTGGTGTGTGTGTGTGTGTGTGTGCATGTGTGACTGTGTACACAGTTACAAATGGATGAGCGAATATATATAAAACATATTCAATAATTTTCACGTATGATTCGTTTCTACATGTTTTGTCCGTAATGTGTTAGACAGTTAATCTATAATTCGTGACAGTAAAAAACTTAACAAAAATTTATAATTTTCGGATGTTTGTATCATGATATATAAAATTAATTACTACATTTACACTTTTTTATTAATCTGGTCTTTAATAACATCTTACAACTACTAACTTTAAATATCGATTAAGTGCTATGTTATACTGGCATACAGCATTAGTCTCATTATAATATTGAAATAAACTAGTATTTACATTTTATATAAGTCAATAGTTAGTATTACATATGTTAATAAACTAGATTAATGGAAGCGTGTAAATGTAATCATAAATAGGGAACTCTCTGTTTCATTGAATTCTATCATAAATTATAAATTATTTAAAGTGAACTTAAAAGAGTACACATATTACGAGAAAGAGAAATGTAGAGAATTGGTGCTTATATTCGCATAATTCAAATATCTCATATAACTGCTTAAATATATAACTACATAACCAATGTTCTCATGTATATGTCAAAAATCATATATGCAGTACAGATATTGCTCAGTAACACAGCAAAATCAAACACTTATCGCCGCGGAAACATCTTGCATACTTTAAATTATAGAAACAGCAGAGATTGAAGTTTGGTATGTGCATTCGTGACGCATTGAAGTTTTAATACTATAATTAGTTTTTATTAATTTATGTATAGTTTGTAATATAATATTGTATATTTGTATTATATTGTATAATTACAACCTTTTAATCGAGAGAATGCTTTCACTGGAACATTTAGCGCTGTCATATTTCTGTTATACTTAATTGAACTTGGATTTATCTTTGCTCGTTGCTACATCAACGAAAAAAAAAAAAAACGATGAAGGGAAAACTTACTTCTCACAATTTTGGTAAATAATAAATTTTATCTCTGTCACGAAATACAACTCGTTCACATTATATGGCGATTTCATACTTGCAACTTTATCGTAACTTTGTCAGCATGATAGTGTCCAATTAGCTAAGAATTAATCGTTAATTCTGTAATTAATAATAACGTGCGCTAACATTTGTGAAATTGTCAGATTTTAGAATGAGCCATAATTAATGTGATTGCAGATTCTACTCATGAATAGAATTAGATTGTTGGAATAGATCTCATTAATGATTAATGGGTTATTTATTAATAGATTCTGTTAATGATTATTATTATTATACACACTGTGTGAGTGAGTCATTATGATGCACGCGCATTTTACACAGCGTTCTATACTGCTACAAAGCCATGTTAACAAACAAACCATTTACTGTTTAGTAGTATAAGGGTAAGAATTCGCAAAAAAATGAAGACTGCAAGATATTTAAAATTTTTCATCCTTCATTTAGAAGATGTCCGAATGCTCCATCGTGCTCTATAGTTTTTACATTGTATATTTATTATGGTTTTTATAACATAAAAAAAGGTATTCTAAAAAATATAATTGATATCACGATGAAACATTTCAGCATCTTCTTAAATATAGAAATAAATAAATACACCTAAAGAGTTGGCTTGTAGAGTCTTCATATTTTTCGAACACTACTTTTATACTTTTATACGCAGATTGTCCAAAAGAATCTATTTATAAATTTAACTGAATAGTTTCATTAAAAAAAGTGCAATTGCACTTTTTCAATGCATCATAAATTAAGAAAAAAAGGAACTTATAGAAAGATGGTCATTGTTACGTTGTTCAGTTTTTTCCTGTGCCATTTTTTCCTATTGTCAACTATTCACAATGTTTAATTGCTGTAGATTCTAGATCGATCAATAGCTATACAGGATGAATACCTAACTTGATCATCTTAAATTATTTGTAAACTTCGTTGTATGAAAAAGTATTTCAAACAAAATTCGCATAATATCAAAGAGGAGACGAATAGCACAGTAATCCGTTATTTATCGTTTTTTTTAAATTGAAATATGAAAATTGTTTGAAATTATTTTTAAATAGAGTACTCGACATTTTATTTTAAAATTCGAAAAGAATACCAAACGTTTAGTAAAAACGCATGCAGATAAATATGTACCAAGAAATGTATCAGAATTTCCCAAATGTACCGCACTACCTACTAATAGCAGATTCTTGAGATAAAAATGTTTAAGCTGCTATTATTATTATTATCACAGTATTCGACAGATTAATTATCTGCACGAGAAAATAATGATCTTCATATATATAATTATATATAGAATATATTTTCATATATGTTCTTTTTCTCTACTTTCTGTCTGCTTATACAGGTATATGTATATATATTTGTGATTAGTATATTGACTTTTTTTCCCGAGTCATTAAAAACTATTATATAATTTTTATTTTAAGTATTAAAATTCTCACTTCTAAATGAGTACAGAATAGTTTTCTTCTATTAATTAATAGGAGGTCTAGAATACTCTGTGTACGTGTATGTATATGTTGTACATATGTATGCGTATGCGTGTACGTATGTATAAAATTACTGATTAACGGCATCAAAGATTCTATTTATTAGTAGAATAAATCGATATTTTAAGAAGTTTCTTTTTATCTATTATCGCAGAATTTGAAATCGGCTTTATACGGCCTGAGGTAACGTCAGTTTTAACCGATTTATTAACCGATTTATTCTGTCGTCCGTCCAATTGTACGAATGTTAGCGCCTACTTTATGTGACTTTGCTCACAGCAGTAAAGTTTAAATGTCCATATTGCTCATTAGTTAAATAAAACGCGAAACGTTCACTGTGCGATAACATTAATAAGCTCCTAGACGTAAGAATATTTAAGATGAAAACTATGTGTGTATGTATATGTCAAGCACTTTGAACGGTTGGGCAACTTGGAGTTTTAAAGCGATTCTCAAAACGCATCCAGCGATATGTCTTCTTGTTAAATTTGTTTTTAAATTTTCATCTTGTAATCAATCTTGATATATGTATATATATATATATATTTGTTTTTTCGGGAGTATATTTGTACGTTCAAGTTTTGTGTTAATATTTATAAATTTCTAATTCTGTTAAAGTAAAATCACATGATTTCACAATTTTCTCTTTTCACTTTAAACGTTTTGAGATAAACTTATTAAACGTATTTGGGAAAAAAATCTCTGCATCTTCATAATGAGCTACGTAAATCAAACTGATTTTGACGTAATGCGTGGAGTTGACAATTTATATTATACTAAACAAATGTGATGTCTTTAATTATATAAATTAATTAACATTACATTTCGTACAAGATTCTTATTATCATACATAAAAATTTTGTATTTCTGTCTTGTTTGTACACTTCTGTGCATTGTATATGTTATTGAATTATATTGATGTAGTAGAGTCTCGTTAATTTTGGCCATCCGAGGGATACGAGGAGAATTCTTGGGAAACAAAAATTAACGATAATTAACGGAGAGCTATATTAAATTAAATTAATACATATCTCTCCCCTCTCCACAGTGCGAGCTGCTCAATCGCCGTATGCTTGCGCGAATGCAGTTACACATACGAAGACATGATCTACTCGTTGCTCGTTGTAACATAAAGAAGGCGCAATATTAGTGTTTGTTAAAGTATGTATTGAAATATATCGAAGTTAAGGGCCAAAATTAAGGAGTCTACTGTACTAACGTTGATGTCTGTTATGTGTCTAGTTAAGGCTTAAAGTCATTGTAAATTTTTGCGATTAAGACGCGGCTAAATTTCCTGAACATGCTGCGTGAGCCATATTTAATATGATAGAAAAAATAAACAGAAAATTTTCTGTATAAATTTATGAAATTCATGATTTGTAAATGTCAGTGAAATCATTTTTTATTGTTAATAGAAAATTTTTTCATGAATTATTGATTGTGTCATTTTCATTTATTACTGTTATATATTGGGTCAGTCAATAATTAGCTTCTGTATTTTGGCTTTTATTAGCAGGAAAAAGAGAAAAATGAATAAGATGAGGGAAAAAAGAGGGAGAGAAAGAGAAAGGATGGGAGGGGAAAAAAATGAAAAGAAAGAATGAAGGAAGGGAGAGTAGAGGGAGAGATCGCGCATAATGACGCATCGTTACGAATTTAGAAGTTTGCGCGCGCGTGTGTGTGTATATGTGTGTGTTCGACCTAAGTATTTCGCTATCCCAGTATCGTAAACGTAGCGCCTTAAAACGATTAGATGATTCTTTCGACGTAATACGATTATAATCAGAAAATTAAGATGTAATAATAAAGGAAATGCTGGATGTTTCCGCATAAGTTTCGCGTATAATATAGATATAATATGGAATAATCAATGTTTACATAGGCTGTCATAGTTATAGTTAGCGCACACGCGTGTATGAGTTATTATTATATATCATAAACGAAACATTATTGTTATTTCTTTTTGAGTCGCTTAGAAAGAGAGAAGGAGATAATCCGTTTTATTGTCGTCATATGCTTAAATATATAAGCGACATCACCATAATCGATGCGAGTTAAGATAAAGGAGAAAGTCGCCGTAAAGGATGCCGACTTTTAATATTGTATGTGAATTTCTTCTCGTAAGAGCCAATCTCTTTTGTAGACGTTAAGAATGAAGTCGAAGTGTATCTATAATAATCGTAGTTAACGAAACGAGTAATTTTATCGCGAATATATATGCATGTGTGTACGCGTGCGAAATTAATTTACACACGTTGAAATTTTTTCCGAGATCTCAAATAAGAATTGAGATCTACCAAAAGTGAGATATGCGAACACTTCGTTGAGAATTGAAGAATTTTGTGCAAGAATGATAATAATTCCATAATTCGTAAAATCTATCTTAGATGCGATTTATAGATGAATGGATAAATTAACGATCATCACACTTATCTTTTCGCACTGCATATAATTGTTAGATATATTGTTTTAGCAGACTTTTTGTGTGTTGGTGATGCTGCGTGCCGGGAAGAGAAGGGAAGGAGAGCTGAGGAGAGCGCTGTTCGAAAAGAAATCTTATTATTTCTTTTTTTTTTCACTTTCCTTTTTTTTGTCGGTTATATAACACATAACGAATGTTTTAAGAAATTACTCGGCTCTTTTGTTTGCGTGTATTCGGCAGCTTGAAGGAAGAAGCGTCGGCTGCGTGCACACCCTTTTGTATTATTAACGAGAGCAGTGGTTGTACTCGAGTGTGATTGTAATAAGATTCGGATTTGTATAAATATCAATGATTTATTGATTGTCTCGAACCCGCCATTGTTTGATTTAATAACCTGGTTATTCATTATTAATTATGTAAACATTATTTTTTTCGCCTATTATTATATATTAAATGCACTATTTTATATACTTTCTTTATCTATCATTATGTAATAAATTAGTGACATGTACAATACATTGCCTGACAGTCCGAATAGGACTCTCAGGGAAGTATGATATTACTATTCGCCTGTGTTTGCATTACTTGATATGCAAAGACATCAGAAACAAAACACGCAGTGTCTAGACGAGAAAAGAGAAGTTCTGTTTCAATTTATTTAATAGCGTTCTCGAATGAAGCAGGTTTAATCGCTCTCAGAGCGATTAAACCCAATTTGTCATGAACATATCCGACCAAAAATAGATTTTGAATCTGATTAATATAAATAATACATTAATAATATATATAATATAAAGTACATTCCATTTGACACTATTTTGGCTTTAAAGCACAAGATTCCTTGCTCTGATTAATTAATCGAACGCTTACTCGAAATATTTCATTCCATATTTAATCTAATAATCCTAGTACCACAAGACGGAGTTTATAACGTCATTAATCGCTATCAGAGCAATCAAACTTGCTTCACTCAAAAACACTATAAACTGCCAGTTTTTTATACATACATGTGTATATCATTATGTATCTCCGAAAAAAAAATAACGCGTTAATTCCGAGATTTTCACTTTGAATACTTTGTATTTCTTTCAGAGACTACTATTTCATTGAAGAAAAATGATCGTCTTGACTCCATCTATCGCTCTTTTCAGTTTGTAAAAGAGTTATGCAGAAACACTTATTGTATACATATAGCATATATATGTATATATTTGGTAACAAGTGCTTGTTCGATAATATGCTGTAATGTATGAGCATAGATTTATGATATTAATTAATTAAATTTATTTAGTTATATCATTTTATTGTATAATATATTTTCGAATTATTCGGGCCCATTAAAAATTGCTTGCACTTTTTCCGGTTAATAAAGCAAAATATCGGAAATAATTTGCGAAATATATGAATTGAAGAAAAATAAAAGCTTTCACATTTACGGTGGCATGAACGGTAGTATTGATATACGATTATCTTAATTAGAGTTTTAATCGTAAAATAGCGATTAAATAGGTAACGATATAAATCGCGTTTTAAATCGTAAAAAATTCTGAAATAATTAATTTCTTAAGACCATTCAATCTCTGAATAAAAATATCAAATTAATGAGACTTGTTTTTGCCTCAAAAAGAAAAGTTGCCTGCTATATTTCGTGTACTTTCTTCAATATTGCCTCCTTTGTATTTTTTATTAATATTATTTTACTCAACATATGTCATAAAATCTTAATGCGAAATTACACCATGTCTTTGTGAATCAGCCTGTATTTATAACAGTACGCTTGTGTATGTGCGTGCGTGCGTGCGTGCGTGCGTATACGATCACGACTGACCACGACCCACGCTCCAAACCCAACTCGATGTTTTCTCAACGACTCGGGACAGTCTTTCGTGAAGAATCGTGAGAGGATGTGGCTGGTTGTTTCGCTCCTCGTACTCTTCGCAGTGTGCACGTGTCGCGCTGATGATGAGATCGAGATCAACGAAATCGACGACCGCGTTTCGGCTGCTCCACGCGAAGCGCAACACGTGCGCGACGCTACGCTCGGAGAGATCTATGAGAACGCGGTCCAGGCCTATCTCGAGGAAAACTGGGACGGTTGCGTTGCGGGATTTAACGATGCTTTGCATGGGTATGTCGTTATTATTCCATTGCTGATATCCTCTTTTATAGATTACATTAATTCCAAAATATTTTAAATCTCTGTAATTAATTCTAAATATGTTATTCATTAAAGAAAGCAGTTTAAGCGTTTAAAATTAAATATCTTTCTGTTTATAATTTTTTTTTGTACATATTTCGAATATCTTTTCAAATTATACATTTATTTCATTTAAATAAACTAGTCGATTGTAGTTTGTAATTAGGAATACACACTTATATATATGAATATTATATACAATAAGTATATACTAAATATGTACAATTATATATACAATATATATTTATAATTGTATAAATACAATTGTAAGCTATTTGATATATACACACTCAATAATCTAATTTGCAACTTTTCCGCAATGGATCCCATATTTAAACATACCTTATAAATCATGGTCGAATATATTTCTTCCGTGAGCTAAAAGTTTTAATAACGTACTTAATTTTGATTGCAATAAATCTTTTTTAATATATTATATATCGTAACTATAATGTGACAAAGAAAAAAAAAATTAATATAGTCTTTTTTGCAACTTTAGCAAAATGAATCTCTCTAAAGAAAATTTTTTTGACATTGAGTACATACGAAATATCAATACGATGTATATGTAGGTATATTACGGAGTCCACATTGATGGCAATATATAATCAAGGCAATGTATAATAACAAGATCATTTTTTTTTTCATAAATATGCAACATTTTACAGAAATAAAATAGCTAGTCCATATATTTTTTTCGTAAATATGCAGCATTTTGCAGGTATAAAATAGGAAGACCATATTTTCTTTTTTTCATATAAATATGCAATATTTTACAGATATAAAATGTACAAACGTATGGTGACGATTTGCCGTCGCAAATGTAAAGCCGAGGCGGCTGGCTTCTCACCAATCCTCGCGAAGGACATTGAAGATTTGCACTTTTATGAGAGAAAAGTGAGAGAGACGCTTTGTTTAATGAAATGCAACCAGGATTACCGTGAGATCGCAGGTGCGGGGGCGCTTAAACGTCTCCCACGCGTTACGGAAGAAAAACTTGTCAATTTTACCATCTATGAGTATCTTCATATCTGCTATTTTCAAGTACGAAAATATATAATACATATATTTTATTATACTATATACAAGTATCAAACATGCTAAGTTTATAAATCGCCATTTATGAATTTTTAAAGAAAAAAATTATTTCAGCAGATTATCTTAATTTTAATATTATTTTTTGGATTAAAAAAGATGTTATAACTTGTGTATATTATATATTTCGGTATCTATCCTCCACATAGTTGCATGTAAAATGTCATTGCTTATTTTACCGTCCAATTAATGGATAATATTATGTATGATACACTAGTATCTCAATTTTATTTTGATTTAATTTATTATTTTATTAATTCCATCTTATAGCTAATAAATCGCGTTGCTTGGTTTCGTGTTCAGATATACTTGCGCTTATGGAAGATCTCGCAAGTACCGCGAAAATACCATACTCCCCCCGAATTCTAATCTGGTAGATTACGTAATTTCGGCATAACAGATTCTACGCCGGAGTTTGCTTTGTAAATAACGAGTCAAGCGATTTCAGCTTGACCTGAAAAACTGATCCGTATATCGTCATTTACTGACAGTCTAGCTCTATTTTTGAGAACTTCCGTAACTTATTTATATATAATACGAGAACTATGGAACTTCCGACATCTGAATCAAACAAAATTTATTTATAACTTGACCATTCGTCATCAAAATTAAGATCTCGGAATATTTCATATGTTTCCTGTCTAGCACTCGTAGAGCTATAACTGCTATCTTCTTATCAAGAAACCTTGAGATAATTGGAAAAATAATGAAGCTACGGATATATGAGGCCATTTATTTGATATTTGCGAAGAATACGATAATCTCTTCAAATATTTTCACAATATCGTAAAATTGTTCTTCCCGGAATTTAAATCACAAAACAAAGTAAAATAAATTGTCTAACAAAATTGTTAATTACTAATTATTAATTATTGTGATATAAAGATTATCGTATTCACTGATAAATTTTTATAGAAAGGAAGATATCAAGATGCAGCGAATGCAGCCTATACCTTTCTCTCCCTACATCCTAATCATGAAATGGCTATAAAGAATCTTAAATACTATCTGAATCTACCTGGCGTGATCGTGAAAGAAGTTGTGAATTTAGAGGCGGCTCCCTTTATGCAAATGTACGTTCGAGGAGTTCAGGCGTATGAAGCTGAGGATTATGTGAAGGCTATCGCCGAGTTTGAGACTTCCCTCGAATCTTACATGGAATTTGAGGAGAATTGCAGGAGCTATTGCGAAGGGCCCTTCGATCAAGGATGGTATCCTGAATTTACCTCTTCGGTAGCAAGTAAGATACAAGTGAATTTAATAGATACAAGTGAATAATAAATAACAAAATAATAATTAATAGATAATAATAAAATAAATAAATATAAATATAAAATATTATTATTCATATTAATGTATCTCAGAGATCTACATAATAAATGTATATATATGTGTGTACTTCAGTAAATTTTTAATGAAGATTATTATTAATTGCCAAAAAGTATTTTCCGTTTGTTATTACTTATTAATTATTTATTAATTTGTTATTACTTATTAATTATTTTTTTAGATCATTTTGTATTTTGTCTGAAGTGTAAACGTGGATGCTCACTTGCATTGAACAACGTGAATGGCAACTTTCGGGCTGATCTACTTAGAAGCCATTATAATTATTTGCAGTTCGCTTATTACAAATGTAAGTAGTTCAAACTTAAATTATTAATTTTATTATACTAATTAAAAAACAAAGTATTAATTAAAAACAAAATATTCTTCTTTCTCGATTGATCAGAGGAGGACATTAAAATACGCGGACTATATTATTATCGAATACGTGGTGCTATTAACGTTTATGTAATTAATGAGATATTTATTATTACGTAATGCAATACTTAAAAACGATGTAATGTTTACGTCTATGAGAATTTATCCATACATTGATATTTTGATAAGAGTTTCAGACTCTGCTATAAAAATATCCACACACATACACATACACATATTACACGCACATACTATATATGCTGGATGTTCTACGTGATTTGAAAATCTATATTTTCGTTGCAAATAGAAATACAAAAAAGTGTTTCAGAAAAAAGTTGCCTGAATTGGAATAAATATAATCAGCCAAATTTTTTTTTTAATCTTATTTTTTTTAGATATCAAGGTCACGACAAAAAATTCACGAAAAGCATTTTTCATCTTTCAAGCATTATTTAAGATAAATTAAATAATTTTTAAATGATCTTCAAAACTTTATAATTAAATAAAATATAAATGTCAGTATTCTTTTTCCTTCTATAAATTCTGCAACTTTTCTCCAAAATTTTTCTTGTAGAAAAATTTACGCAAGATACGCAGCTTGTTCTATTAAAACGGAACATTTTAATAGAACAAGCTGCGTATCTTGCGTAATACAAAAATTTTAACAACTAAAACACTGACATAAAATGTAATTGTCGTGAATTCAAATGACCTCGTTGCGACGTGTCTCTATTTGTTAACAGGGGCGATTATTCTAAAAGCTTTATCAAACAATTTCTTGAGTTATCTTTCATGGCAAAATTAATTGGATTAATCTTTACATTTTAGCAATTATTCAAATGCCAAATTGCCTTTTCTGAAATTGTCTATTATATACTTAAAATAATATTTGTACAAAATTTACTTAGATTTTAACTCAAAAAATTTTTTACGTATATATATATATATATTTACTATCTCTTCTAATTTATATAAAAATTTAAATATATATATACATATATATTTTTAAAAAGAGATAAATAAATATAGCAATAAAAAATGTTAACTTGAGAATTAATAAAAAGAAGAATGTATAAAGTACATAATAATTTTTATTTATTTTATGTGCAGTGGGAAATTTGAAAAAAGCTTGTGCAGCAGTTGCGAGTTTTTTATTATTTCTACCCGCTGACGAAACAATGCTTCACAATAAAGATTATTATAGCAGTCAGCCGAAAGTGGAGGAAGAATACTTTACGCCAAGAGAAGTATGTAAAGGAAATAGACAGATTTATTAGAAATTAAAATTTTAGAATAGATAATACAGATTTAATATTAAAAAAATATCATCTGAATTTAAATATGAAAATGGAAAAGTGTTAATAGTTTTAATTAGAATTAAAACAAGTTATTATGAAGATCGTTTTCAGGAGGCGCTTTCCTATGTGAAACGGCAAGAGTACGAATTGATGTTGTTGTATTATATATCGGAAGAATTCGCGGTGATAGATGCTAAATTTAATGAGTTTAAAAAGAAGACTAACACAAAAAAGGCTGAACAAAAAGATGAACAGAATTTAGGAAAGGTATATATAAAAGAAAAGATATAAGTTAACAAAAAGAATCACTTACTGACAAATAACTTACAAATAATTTTCCGAGACCATTATTTGTTGCTCAATCCATACGGATTGATAAGCAATTGATAAAAAAAACCCTTTATTGTACGCTGTCATTTGCATTTCTGTTCGAAGGATGATGCGCGCATAAACGTGACCATTGGATATCATTTCTAGATCGATCAGTTAAAAATGATCGGCGGATTTCGTTGTTCAAGTGTGCATCGTTTTTAGTTTTAATACCAGAAAATTTTAATTTTCTATGTATTATTATATATTTGTATCCACACAATTTGTACACAATAAAATACTAAAAATTATATAAACTTTTATTTTAAAAATATATTACGTTCTGTGTAATATTAAGAAAACTAAAATTAAAGAAATAACATATACAAACATACAACATATACATATATATAAGATATTAAAATTGAAATAATATTGCATACGATGCATTTTTATCAGTCTCCCGCGTCATCGCCTGCTTAAATGCAACCCTACTTACTTCTTTCTTCATAATGACACAGAAATACAGGCGTCATATGTGAAATTCTCAAGGCAAAATGATAATAAATTAAAAAGATCCAAATTCTATCTTTATAAAGGTATACATATTATCTCATTCTTTATACATTTTATCTTTCATCTTTTTAGTATCCTTTCTCGATCTTGCATCCACCTCCGGGTCACTCACCATCCAGGAGGACACAATTCTTTGGTAATCTATCAATATTCCGGGATGAGGAGAAAACGGAAATACAAAGAAATTATGCCAAAGAGTGGTTAGAAGTCAGTGGCAATGTACAAATAATAGCAGGAGAAAAAGAACTCGGCGGAAAAAATCGCTACGCAGTTGACGGTTTTCTCAACTCCATCGAATGCGATCTGCTTATGCAACTAACTCAGGTAGATAAAATTTTCAGAGTTTTTATTATCTCCCACTGCTGTCATATTGAATTGCAGTTCTAAAATTATAATTTATAACGAAAGATCGTTGTGATGTGACAGAGTATTTTGTAGACCGGATGATCGTATTCAGCATAAAAAAGTTACAAAAATAAGTATTCTAGAATTACCTCTATATCGTTCTATAATTATCTATAATTATATTTGGACGCGTACTTTATAATATCTTTGTTTGGAAGATCCTGATATATAGATGTGATCCTGACATAAAACCGTGTTCGAGTAGAAGTTTATCTTCACTCATTTTTAAATCAGACATCTTCGTTGTAAAGCGATTATACCCGTACCTTTTCCCTGCGCTCTGAAAAAAAATCTATATTGTTTCTTAAAAAAGTCGCATATATATATTACAGAAATAATTCACAAATATTTTAGATCGCTATAGAAGGTGATGGCTATGAAGAAAACAAGAGTCCGCATTCACCTTACGAGCGTTTCGAAGGTGTGACTGTTGGCAGGATGGCGTTGGTAAGAATTATCTATACCGAGAATATTTTATATCAAGATATTATCTACGTCTCTTTTATATTTCTTATCGTTTGCCAATATGATGCTAAAATTTGAGAAAATTTAAAAGAAAAGAAAAAGACAAAAAGGAAAAAATTGCAGATGATGTACTTCAATCTGACGAAGCCGGATCTACTGGAACTGTTCCTGGAACGCACAGAAGCGGTTCGCGATCATGTGGAAAGGTATTTCGACCTTGACTCACCACTGTATTTCACCTACACCCATTTGGTCTGCCGAACGGCTTTACCCGGTAATTTTCATCTGACGCATCCTCGTGCTTCTGACGTCACTTTTTGCTGACATGCTCTCACCGTAAGAATTGGTATGGCATATAAAGATTAATCGCGATATCAGAAGATGATCGATCAGATCGTATTTCATCATGAATCTGTTCGTTTTCAACTCTATTGTATCCTTAAAATATCCCTAAAATATTTTTTATTAACAAAATAATCGCCAAGATATAAAATGGAAAAATATATTCGGCTACTGAATAGTAGCAAGTTGTTTAAGTACATGAAGAAAAATTAGGTACGAATAGCCGTTAGTCGGCAGAAAATTTATTTTATCGTCATTATCATTCCTCATCGCTTTTAGATTCGCCGGTGGATCGGACGGATTTGAGTCATGAAATTCACGCTGATAATTGCGTGATAAAGGACGGAGGTTTCTGTCTACGGGAGGATCCTGCGTACACGTGGAGAGATTACTCGGCGATTCTGTATCTCAATGACGATTTCGACGGTGGCGAGTTTTTTTTTGTTGAGGACTGGAAGAATCGCCGCATCCAGGGCATTGTTCGGCCTCGGTGCGGACGTATGGTGGCGTTCTCCGCCGGTGGTGAGAATCTTCATGGTGTTCGAGGTGTGCGCAACAATAGGAGGTGCGCTGTGGCATTGTGGTTCACCCAGGATGAAAAATATCTGGAGTATGAGAGAATGGTGGCGAACACCATGCTGACGAGAGTTCGCACCTTGGGTACTGTGCAACACGAGGATATCCGAATACCTTTCAGGTAAAAGCATAGAATTTATAATGAAAATATCTGAATATTCATATTTGTTTTAGTCTAAGTTTAAAATAGTATCCATATTTTTTATGCTTTGATAATATTCAAAGGTGATACACTGCCTTATGAAAATTTTGGGAAAAAATTTCGCAAATAATTAATACTTTGTTCCTGTTTAGATACGAAGACGTGTTGATCCAATGTTTTAAAGAAGACGAAATGTTGAGGAACATATTGAGAGAAGGAAGAGGCAACAAAAAAAAGCAACATTGATAAAAATTTGCAAAAAAATTTACGTATATACCTTCCTCCTTCTCCCTCTTTTTACACACACATGTACACACACACACACACACACACACACACACACACACACACACACACACACACACACACACACACACACACACACACACACACACACACACACACACACACACACACACACACACACACACACACACACACACACACACACACACACACACACACACACACACACACACACACACACACACACACACACACACACACACACACACACACACACACACACACACACACACACACACACACACACACACACACACACACACACACACACACACACACACACACATACACACACACACACACACACACACACACACACACACACACACACACACACACACACACACACACACACACACACACACACACACACACACACACACACACACACACACACACACACACACACACACACACACACACACACACACACACACACACACACACACACACACACACACACACACACACACACACACACACACACACACACACACACACACACACACACACACACACACACACACACACACACACACACACACACACACACACACACACACACACACACACACACACACACACACACACACACACACACACACACACACACACACACACACACACACACACACACACACACACACACACACACACACACACACACACACACACACACACACATTTTCGTATATACCTTCCTCCTTCTCCCTCTTTTTACACACACATGTACACACACACACACACACACACACACACACACACACACACACACACACACACACACACACACACACACACACACACACACACACACACACACACACACACACACACACACACACACACACACACACACACACACACACACACACACACACACACACACACACACACACACACACACACACACACACACACACACACACACACACACACACACACACACACACACACACACACACACACACACGCGCGCACATATATATATATATATATATATATATATATATATATATATATACTGCACATACACACAAAATATATATTATTTTTTATGCGCACACACGCGAGATATTTCATATAAAATTTTTTTGATAATTTTTAATTATTTTTATGGTATAAGAAAATATGCAATACCTTGTAAAGTATTCACTGTTCGGTAAATTGATTTACTTTAATACTTCTAAATATAGAATAATAAAATGAGTTAATTATAGAGTTATTATAATTAATTCTATTTTTTATTCCATAAAGAACTCATCTTAACAAATATTTTAATGGAAGAGTGAGAATTTTATACACACAAGATATTGCATATTTTATATTACAATATATGTCCAAAATAAAATATATCTCAAATGATGGAGAATAGTGAAGAGAATTATCCAACAGCCAAATCTGTTCGAACAGATTTTTTCTGCTACAAATTTTTGTCAGTAAAAAGGCTACAAATTTAGTACAGAGTTAATTTTAATTATATCGATAGGCTATCAGTAGATCAGTTATAGAGCATGTTTTAATGAGAGAAGGCCGGTATTGAAATATATATTCAGATATAATAGACATATCTAACATCCAATTATGTAATCTGATCAACTGATAATCAATAGAAACATTTTTGCTTCATAATTTGAAAACTGTTGATTTTAGGACACACATGTACAAAAACTTTTTTATTTATTCTAATGAGTACATACTAGATGCAGGTATGTAAAGTTTGTACATACCATGAATTTCTGAACACCGTGTGTGTGCGTGCGCGCGCGCATGCATACATATGTACACAGATGAGAATATATTTAATCCCAAAAAATACCTCATTCGACAAGTAATATAAAGTATGTATTCTATTCTATTTATACAACAAAGTCTGTTACGAAAATATGTAATGTTAATGTTGTAGAATTAATTTTAACAACTTTACTGTGTGTTAAAGTTTTTCTAGTCCGCACATACATATGTACAATAAAGTGCACAAACTCATTGCATATCTCTCATATATGTAATTAATTTTTGAATTATTTAATTAATTAGTATAATTTAAATGTGAAAAGAGCGCGCAGAAGATGTATATAGGCCGTTTTACGATTATCGCAACAACCATTTATAGAAAATATCCTAAATCTTTATTATAGAGAAAATGGACATATTACATGTCAACGAGTTTACATAACCGCTTGTTATCACGCAGCATGTGTATATCGTATTATAAATACGATTTATACTCTCCTCGTATAAGAGTTATATATGCACAATTGCGTTTTAATTGTTTGGCGGTATGCGTTTTCTTTCTCTCCTTTCTTTTCTACCTTTTATCATGCGATGCCGAGCTCTGGCATCACATGATATGGACACTTTATACGTCTCTTTGTAAAATCAATTCCATGAATTAAGCGTGTATATATGGTGTATTAATCCATCGTAATTATTAATAACACACATACCGTCGCTGGCATCTATATCTCTCATCGAGATATAGCCAACATCCGTAATCTGTTTGTCGTTGTTATTATGGGATAAACACGAAAATGCATTCGTGTTGGATTGCCAATAAGATTGAAACAATTTTGATAAAAAAAAGGGGTTGTAAGGAGAAATGGAGGGAGAAGGACTATAGAAACTAATACTCAGATTCTCCTCTTTTAAAAAATTACGATTAGAAAAATTTTCCATACGTGCAACTTTAAACAAATGGGCGCTTGAATTTTTATTGTAGAAGATTGAGATATACGTGGAGGAATATGAAGAAAAAGAAATTTGGATTTGAAAAAAATTGTTGAGGAAACAATTATCAAAATTGATGAATTTTAAATCCGTTCTGACAAGAGATAGTGTACGGACTTATTGTTAGAAAGAGAGAGAAAGAAAGAGAGAGAGAATTTAATATATGAAATAGGAGAATATGAGTTTTATTTCCATACTCCTCATATCTGAGCTTTCCTTATCGCGGTTGCTGCGATAGTGATCGTTGTCATTTCGGGATCAGTCAGGAAGAAAGTGATAACGCGATTATATACGATATGTCGTAATATATATATAATATATATATGTTTCAATACAAACGTTTATTACGAAATTATAGTGACATCTGCGTATCACAGGAGAGCTCAGTCGATTCTTCAGAAACCACTCCATATCGTTATCGTCTTACATGCGCATTATATTCCGTCCATTCAAATTTCGAATATGAAAGGAAGATGTAATTGTAACAATCGCATGCCACGTTAATAACGGAATAGAAATTGTGCGGTAAATTTTTTAAATTATTTATACTCGCGCATAATGCGTGAATTCTCTTCAAATTATAAATAATAAATATCTATTATACATACAAGATGTAAATTAATTAGTACCAAATATTCTCTAAGAACGTGTGGTTATCCGACATCGATTAATTTACATTCTGTATATATCTACACATATACGTTACACATTTTGAATTATTTGCTATTAATTTATCGCGGCAGATTTTTAATATTTCGAATGGAGTGGTCACTCGAGTTTCGTCATATGTTACAGATGTTTTGTATTGCTCTTCGTATAGACCTTAATATCGTTTTTTTCTCTATATGACAATTACAATTAAAAAGCAATCTCGAAAGTAACGCTTCTGCGTCGGTTTATGAAAAATAGGCGCTCAGAGAGAGAGATGTAAAGAATATCGCAAGAATGCTAACAATAATGAACGCTAATAATAATAATCTCTTACCGATCGTAACATTTCTTTGAAACAACATCAAATAGAAGAAACAATATGTCACGTCTAGTAAGCAATTATTATAATAAAAGAACGTAATTAGCGTACATTTTAGTGCCCGTCGACTCTCAACTAGATTCTTCAACTTTCGAGATTTTATCTAACAGACCTTCTCTAACGATTATCAATAAGATTAATAGTTTCAAGCATAGAATTAAACTCTCTTAGACCCGGACAGCGAATATCGTGTGTACCCGCTTGTATAATTCGAGTCAGACTTCTTATAATAGTTACATAATTTCGTAATCTTATATATACACGCGCGCACCTAAAAGATCGATTCCACAATTTTCGGAGTTTATTTACTTGAATGTAGCAAAATACTCGCATAGAAAAATTATGAATGGTACGCGAAGAACTATTCTATTACTTTATGAAAAACATTTTATCAATAAAAGATTGACATTTAACTCACATCAACGGCTAGCGTGGAGAATCCATCTCTGGGAAAAAAAATTTTATTACAAATAAAGAATTAATTCTTCCATAATAAATAATCTCTCTTTAGATGTTTTGGTATATAATTTCCAAACATTAAAGCTTTTCAACTAAATAATTGTATACATTATTATATATTGCATTATATAATATATATAAATATATATATATAAATCTATGAATCAATAACAACTTATGGAATACGTAATCAATTTCAACATTTTATGACACGTGGCATAAATATATTGCATACCATATTACTTGTGATAGAATTTATTTATTTTATTATTTATGGTTGTTTGAGAAAGTAAGAGTTTTATAAATTATATTATTAAATTTGCTTCTCGAACGTTCTAAAGCGAGACGTTATGATCGAAGCCTTGTTTTCATTCCGTTTTTGTGGTTTCTTCGTATCGTTCGATTCTGACAAACACCTCGTTGTCGATCGCCGATTGGCTCTCGGAATCGAACGATCGAAATTCCGTTTTTTGTGGTACACGTATCGACCGGGACTATTGTCCGTGGATCGAAAAGAAGGGCTTTATATATGTATATATTTATATTTATATATTTAATATTATTCTGAGGCTTTTGGAAAATAAAAATAATTTTGCTTTAACTAAGATTCTTTATATTAAATTATGGCGTTTTTAATGGATTAACAAAATGTCATCATAATAGTTAATCTAAATTTAGACCAGCAATTATTTGAAATCAATTATATTTAATTGCAGTTGCGTTGTTAATAACATGTATCTGGATTAAATTATTATCACAATTAGTCCCGCTATATTTCCGAAAATGTGATTTGATATAATGTAAAATATCTTCTATGTAACAAAACCAAGTTTATTGGATCAATTGTTGGAATTCCATTAGTCTAAAGTACTTGAAAATTAATTGTTATTAATTTTCAAATAATTGATTTTAATGATGATAAAAAATTTTGATACAAAGAAATTGCTCGTCTAATAATATCTTTAGAATACTAACTTACGTTATGGATCAAAATTTGTTTTGTATGAAATGCCTCAACATTAGTAGAGTATTTTATAACCTTATGATTGATTACAAATTAAACAGTTTGTGTACAACAAGAGTGGCATGTGAAAACAAGTGTCACCTAACAGAAATATATTTTCACTGGCGAGAGAACGGAACGCGCCGCATCCTGATAAGTAGGAAACTTTCAGCATTTTACGTATAATATCAAGAATCTCAGTTTGAAACATTTAGATAAACAACTCTTTTTAGCGTTCGCTGTTAGCTATACCTAAAACTAGAGTCCTGTTATCAACATCGAAATTGTGTTTTATAACTTTAAAATGTTCAAAAATACAGGACTGTATTTGATTCACCTCGCATCGAACATGCGCTAACGTTTAAAAAAGTATCGTTGATTTGAAACTTTCTCTCTCTCTCTCTTTCTTTCTCTCACACACATATACATTTTGCTCTCTCATCTTATTCAGTAAAACAGTTTTATTCGCGTTTTATCGCACAGTTTACTATTTAATATTCTTATCTTTGCATATACGAAAATAAAGTAAAAACTGGCTGGTATGTAGGGTCTCCTCGCTGAAAAACTCACAACAATACACTCTTT